TTTTAAGTCAAAGGGAATTATTGTGAAAGGTGAAAAAAAAATTTTTTTTGATAACTTGAATGTAAAAATTAAAGTTAACAATTGAACAATAGTAAAAAATGTATCACGACATTGATCTAACGTAGCTTTTGTCGCTTAGGGGCTGTTTGCTTAACAATAGACGAAAGCAAAGTATACACTACGGATAAAAGCGAGAAAAAGTATAGAAACACGTAGAGAAATGGAGAAAAATGCAGGAGTTGAAAGGGCGTCAAAACGTGAACTAACCAACGAACAAAAGACTTTAAGGGTACAAGAGAGATGTGAGATGCGAGGAGAAAAATTCAGAAGAAAGCAGGAAGTACCAGAGGGTAATGAAAAGATCCAACGAAAGTATTATACACGAGCTAAAGCCAACTACAGACACGTTTCTTAGCAGAGGGATCGAGCAATATGTGGTGATGATTGGCTTCATCTTTCATCATAGTCGGCACTCATGGGTAACGAAAACGAGCTAGAGGTTACATACATTGCGAGAACTGTGAGGGTATTTTGATTATCTTCCATAATTCCAGAGAAATTGCCTGAGAAAAATAACAGATTGATACCAATTTTCACTACTATAGAACCACTGATGGTGGCATAGATAAAATGAATGGTGACAAATGTCAACAAAGTATACTGCTAAATAAATATAGCAGTCATTCTCATTAAAAGATGAAAAAATCTCAAGTAAAATTTAGTGTCTCAAAAAATTTTAAACCAGTTTTTTTTTTTAACCATCAATAAGACTTCTACCATCGTTGAATCATGTTGAATCTCTCTGTGTCAAATACCAAAAATTATCAATTGAAATAGCCAGTACACTATATACTACTTAAAAAAATATATTATAAAAAATATTATTAATATCGACGTAATTAAAAATATTCAATAACAATTTTTTCAATAGTGACTTTCTGAAATTTGATAGATAGATGATATCCACGGTACTTTTATGGTGTAAATTCACTGCAAAGTGTGTTAAAAATGACGTTACCCATTCGATCAACATTGTAGTCATTTTTACACCCTTAGATGTGTAAAAACAACACGCGTTTGGAAATCGAGATTTGCAGTGAATATATTAAAGTTTCATTAGAAAATATCGAAAATTTTACTTATACATAATTTAAAAAAAAAACAAAATAATTAATGATTGAATTATTTTTATCTTAAATTTATAATTATTGTAAACTTTTATACGAGTTATATTTTATCTTATCTCAACAAATATCCAACAAGTTTTTCTCTGCAGGTTTGGCTGTTATTGTAGCCCCCTGTTTTACTGTTGTCATCACAGACTCAATTTATTTTATCTGCAGATTTTATTCGTAGATTCAACAGAAATCATGGCTGTTGCAAACATGACCTTTATGATTTGTTACAGTAATACAATATTTTTCTCTACGTATGAAGAAGACATTGGTGTTAGTATCCCAACTAGAAATTAGTTTTATTATGGATCTGCCTTGATTGTTGTTTTTTTTGTTAACAACAAACAATACTGTATGATAATTATGTTTCATGAATTTTATATGAGAAATATTATTAATTAATTATAGTTGATGAGATTTGCGTGAAAAATTATTTGGATATTATGTCTACGGTATAGCAACCATTCTATAAAAAAAATAATTTTTATTTTTAATTGTTAATTAATATTGATATTTAAAATTGTTTCAAAGTTTGATTGATGAAAAGTACTGTATTTAGTACTTGATTTAATTGATTGAAAAATAGTTAAAATCTTATTTCTTGGACTGTTTGACAATTTTCTGATTTTTAACTGATTGAATTAATTAGATCTAGTCGGCAGTTTGATTGTGGCTTTTGATTAAGGGTTAAATGTCAGTACATTTAGTTTCTATAACCACGAAACCACTCTGACAACTCCCTTCTACGTAACCAGAGTGAGCTTTGGCTGCAAGTTAATAATCCACAAACCTTCACTATTGTATATAAAAGCTAATACAGCAGAATATACTTATATAGAGTAAAGGGGTTATGTAGGAGGATGAAAATTCAAACAACCAAAGGGAAATACGAATTAATCAATTATGAAAATAATAGAATAATGATCAAGTAAACTAGGTAAATTGGATAGCTATCGCAAGGTATGTTTTACTGGTCAGCTCATTTTGTATGCCATTTACGACAATTTAACAATGTCAGTAATTCAATAACATTCACATAAAAATTTCAATCCAATTGTTTTTTCTTTTCAATTCACTTTTATTATTCCTTGCCTACGTGTGGATTTAGCTTTGTTTTGTAATAGAGGCTTAAATAAGTTGTTCTGACTACCCACATCTTAAATCACAGTACATACCAATCACAGTAGCAGTTTATCAACGCCAACGTATTTTAGCTGAAGTGCCGAGTAGTAATATAGGAACAGTCAGCTCTCTCCACATAAACTGATCTATCGTTTACAGTTTACTCAGACATTTGCAATATTCTGATACGGATTTAGGATTTATATCAACTAATGTCACCAATGTATGATTTGTATTCTAGAAATGCTCTACCAACTATGATAAATTTACCAATTTACCATTTACAACATTATTTTTATCATTTTTACGTCGAAAAAATATTCGACACTGTTGAAAGAAATAGAAAAACAATTTGTTGTCTTCATTTAGTTATTTTACAATTTCTAATGAATATTTTATATTAAGGTTTCAATTAATTGAAGAAAAAAGAATGAGATTTTTAATTAATTTAATATTTCATTGTAAACTTAAAAAGAAATTAATTAAATAAATTTTCGAACGAGAAGTTTGAAAGACTATACTATCTTCTTAAAGAGGTTTTTTTAGGTTTCAATGTCCTGCAAAGTTGCACCGAGAAAAAAAAAACTAAAAATTTCTTGGATATTTTTTTCTCTTTTCTTCTCTGCATCTTCTGAAAAAGAAATACTAAAACTCGATACTTTCAATCAAGATTGAAAGCAGAAACTTTGCATTTTAGAATTATTTCAGGGGTAAAAAATTTATCATGATTTTTCTACTCGTGATTCATTTTACCTCATAGGAATTTTTTTTTTCAGTTTATGGTACGATTGTTCTAATAAAAATAGAAAGATATCGAAAAACAGAAAATTTGAAGTGAAGTTTGAATTGTAACAAAAAATTCTAAACATTATTGATTTGTAAAAAAAATTTTTCCAATAAAAATATTACGTGTATAGTATGTGAAAATGAAGTTAGATATTTCATCTTACAGAAAAAGTTATTTTCATTGTTAATATCATAAAAAAAAGTATCCCCATTAAATTATTATATTAAAAAAGTAAAATTTCTCCGTAGAATTGTTATTTATTTTTCATTATAAGATATAAAGAAAATCCATCAATAATTGATTGCTACTATGAAGTTATATTAGCCATATTAATTATTAAGTTTAAGAGAATTCAACAACAAAACTTTACTTCCTGTTTTCATTTTTATTTGTAGACTTATTTTTTATAATAAAAATCTAGAGGAAATATGAAGATGTTTATAATAAACGTCAAGTTTATGAAGAAAAATAAATTAAATGGTGCTTAGAAAGAAGCCAGAGAGGTGAAAAAACATCATACAAGAGAATCTAACAAATTTAGAGAACATATTTCTCCATTTTAGGTAGCATGCGTGACAATAATCTCGAATTTACGAGGTTACCAGTCGTAAAACCGTCGGCGGTATTATAACTGGGTGGCAAAACTATATGCACAGTGTCACGGGCGTTAGTATACCGGTAGTTATATTTGAACGAGCAACGAGTTCACGCGCAATTTGCATGAGATTTGAATCACTGAAGACCCTGGGGGCTCTTAGGTTTCTTTGACGGGTTGAAAGATGTATTTTTTTTCTAATACATTAACTGTATGTACATACTTTATACTTCCTGAATAACTTTCCTTTTCATTAGAACAATAAAAAATTTATTTAGTTTAAGAAGAATAATCAATAAAGTTCATTGTGAGAATGCTAATCAAATTTTTTATTGCTATTACCACCATCTTAATATGCATAATATAAAATATCATAATTCTATCATCATTACCATCATAAAATTATTAAATGGATTATTAAAAGTAGGAGCTTTTTAATTCGCCATGCATATTGGGAATTGTGTGGACTCCAACCACTTTTACGTCTTAAAAATTCTGTAACATATTTCACATTCTAAAAAATGCATAATCTTCAAGATATTACAGTTCACAAGTACCATAAAGTCAATTTAATCTCGGGTTATATTCAAAAGTATGAACTTCGAAGATTGAATTAATATGTACTGTAAAAATATAAATAAAAATGAATTATTGATAGAATTTCATATTGAAATATTGACAATGCAGTTAATGATTCATTTAAATAATCGTGCAAATATTAATTAATTTAACGTTGATTAATATTGAAAATGGTATAATATTAATATTGTTTTGCTTCAATAGCTAAAAAATAATGTGATAATTTATTATTTAAAAAAACCAGAAAACATGTATTATATGCATCAATAAATTTACAAAAAGCTGTTCTTAATAATAATGTTACACGTTCATAAATATTATGTTGGATTATATTATATTGAAAGTTTATGACATGAGAGAAATTATTCTGAAATTAATGTAATATTAATAAATACATTAGTAGAAGAAAAAAATTGTTTTTTACTATTGAAGAATTTGAGAAAAAAATCCAAATAGACTTTTATAATTTTTCGTAATTTAATCTAATTCATAATAATCACAAACGGTAATCTATAATAAAAAGTGATAGTAGAAAGGCAGAAATAAATGGACTATCATTAAACTTGATATTGATACTTGAAAAAAAATTATTAGAGTGGAACCCAATGGTTGGAAAAGTAATATTTACTGCGGAACATCTACAATTACTTGAAAGAATAATACTGAAAAAGAAAAATTTAATTGCTCAAAAGTGACCAATAAATTACAATTAAAAGTAATTAGATATTAATTATGGTTTCAGGTGCGATGAGCTAGAATGAACGGTAGATTAAATTGAACCACGATAATCTTGTGGCACCAAAAGTATCTGGAGGCGTGGTCCTGTGAAGAGTTACGTTATGTCACTATTGCTGACCCGAGGGGCTCGTAAGGGCCCTGTTCTCTGTTTCTGCGCCTTTATTTTTCTCTTTGTACTTTATGAGCTTGGAATCATATGTGGTAATCATAAAGATCAACCAACTTCACTCATGGTAGCTAAAGAAGTAAGTAAAAAAATAACAAAATTCTTTGTCTCATCACTTGTATTTTTATTCATTTTTTAAACTAAAATTACAAAATTGGAGTAAAAGTTATTTCTTAAATAATAATTTAATGATTAGATCTACTTTAAGTCGGGTAATAATAACTCCAGCTGAATAATATCAATTGTATTCATTTCAAAGTTGTTAATATTGATCTCTTTAAGAACTGCAATATTATACAAGTAATCCTTAATATGAACCTACATGCAAAAATGATAACTAAAACAGATCTATTTTTCGTAAATTACTTTAATTCAAATATCATTAAGGATAACTTTTCACATTCACAGTAAAATTTATGTCAACAATAACATTAATAAAATAATACTATAAGAAAAATATTTTATTTATATTTGTTGAAAGAATAAAAAAAGCGATAACTATTTGTAAAATTGTTATTCACGGTAATATTTTAATGTCGTTTAATTCGTCAGAAAAAGTTTCAGTAATTCCATTTAATTTTAAAATTCGTTACTCCATTAATTAACAAAAAGCATTCAACAATAAAGTTCATATACATGCATATATCAATGATAATGCTGGCAAAGATATTGAATTGTTTTTCACTACTACATTGGAATACTACAGATTTATTGCAAAGCAATTGTTGACATTGATTTTTCAATTACAATGAAGGGGAATATTTGCATAAGTACATTTATAGGACAATTTGTTAGAAAAGTAGTAATATCGGATGAATATAGAGGAATAACATTTTGCCAACTTTCATAAATCGGCAATAAAGTCTGGGATAATATACAAAGCTTTTACATTGGCAATAGTACTTGCCATTTTTATCTGTCGAGCTGCAAAGGTCTCTGAATTGGGTAGTTTTCAAAGAATTGCTGGCCATCTCTTACTTGGAGGGTCAGTCGTTATTCCGATCGATCGCCCATCTATTTCAACATCCCGTCTTCTTCTATATATACACAGAGAGAATAGACTTTGTAAAATGTAAAGTGATATCATTGTAACATATCATTTCAGATCAAAAAGTTCAAGAAAATCATATTTATGCAGAAAATACATAGAAATATTCTTGTAAGCAAAATCAAAATCAATATGATGAATTATAAAAAAAATTAATATGACCTTATTTACACAGAAAATTTTTTATATCTACCATACTATTCAAAAAAAAAATTGTCATTATTATTCTTTTATTTAAAATAACATGCTTCGATAATATTACTAAACAATTGACAGTTTTTATTATCTTTGTAAGTACTGTTATGAGATTCAGTTTCAAGGATGACCTAAACTTTATTTTACTACTGCCAAGTGTTTGAAAATAACTTTATTGATTCCTCTCTATCAACTGAGTTCTTATATCATTTTTAGTCTCCAAGAACTTTAAAAAAAAAATCAATTCAATATTTCTCCAACAATTTGGAAATATTTTTATATTTTATAAAGTAAAGTTTTATTTAATGAAACATAGTAAATTTGAAATCTAGAGTAATTTTCAATAATTAAAACAATCCTGACAAGTTTGTTCGGTTAATAATTATTTTATTAAAATAATTAACTATCATGTATTGAATAAATGTAATGTTTGTAAAACCAATCAATAAACTTTCAATGTATACAAAGACGTAGACAACGAGTAATGTTTTGAATCAATACTTAAAATTCACTATTGGATAGAAATATTTGTATTTCTGTGTTCCAATATGTGCACTTTTTATTTTTTGTTTACAATCAGAAAAAAAATTATTTTGATGTATTTCTTATTACTATACTGATTGCTAGTGGGTATTATTTTTTTTTCATCGAATCTCTCTACTCTTGAGAATTCAGTTTCATCGTCATGAAATTAATTCAATAATAGAATGTTGGAAAACCTTATAATTAACAAGGAATATCATTATCCTCGGTAAAAACTTAATGATAATATTATTTTTTATTAAATTATGTAAAATTCTTCTTTTAAGTTAAACTCTAACTGCTTTACTGTATAACTCATCCAAATGAATGAGCGAATTTAATATATATTTTTAACATAATTCTAGCTTATTCTGATCATTATAAATAATATTTATACTTTGAATAGATCAATTTCAATATCAGCTATAAAGTAAGACAATGTTTGCTTTACTACGAAACTATTGAGCAAATGGAATTTAGTAAATTATCTTTCACTAAGTAGTCTCTAGGATTAATTATGCTTTCCAGCAGAAAACTATATTATTAGATGAATTCTTTCCTTTGATATTAATTAATTAGATAAATCTTGAATTTGATTATTAAAAAAAAGGATTTGAAATATGAAAATAGTACAACTTAATAAATTCTCAAAAGAATTATTTTCTATAATTTCAACTCTCCGCTCCTTTTTCTTACAATTTTTCTAGAGTATTCCCTAGACCATTACTCAGAATTACCTCATTTCTCCGTCGCTTTCATTGCTATTTCTTGTAACATTCACCTTAATTCCGCTAAATCTCGAAAGTTTCTTTCAATCGAGAGTTAATGACGCGACAGATTTTTTGACGTCAACTTTTATATATTTTTTCGCTTATTTCCTTCATCACCTAGAAAATTTCTCCTTATCGTATTTTTAAGGAATAATTTTTCAAGCAGAAGTAGGTAAAAAAGTTGAAAGGAATTTTTTCTTGGTACCGAGTTTTATTCGTCGCCCTTGCAAACTTAACATGAGGGATAAAAAAGAGGGCTAGAGTTGGTTAGAAGAGTGCAAGTGGCACTTTGAAACTCAGTAGAAGTGGGTACTGTGCTGTGTTATATGCGTCTCTTTGGCAAGGAATAAAAAGACAGGCTATTAACTGACTCGCCCTACTGTAAAGTTCGCTTTTACATTTAGTTTTGAGGTACAAAGATTCAAAAGTGGGAGTCAAACGTAAGCTTAGGACAGAAAACGTATTAATAGTGAAAAAGAATGTTGGATTTTTCAAGTATGGGAAAAACTGTTTGCTCGAACATCGACGTCAACTCAATTATTAACATTATTAAGAGCTTAGGCGCACAAAAGAATTTTGTCATTTTATACAAGACAGAACAATGGATTTTCACTCCCTCTAAACCGGAAGAAAAATTGAAGTTTACGTGAGTGTATTTTCACAATAAAACATAAGCACTACACAAAAGTCATAATAAAAAAAGTTAGTCATTTATTTTAACAAATAAATACTGCCTCCTATTAATTGATCTGTAATTATCTTTATCGTACTTATGAAAAAATAAATTGAATTTTATGAATATAATAAATATTTTGGTGATTACTTAAAATTATTACATCCGCGTTTTATGAATTCAAAAATATTCAATTTCATTACCAAAAACGGATGCCTAAGAATCTAATTTGAATTAACAAATAAGTCCACGTTACATAATATATTATATAATTAAATTTTAATTAAAATAAGTACAAAAAGATGTAGATCTTTTAATTAATTTAATCTTATACGATTATTAATCAAATGATCTCTTTTGTTTGAAATTCTAATGATTCAATAATTAAAGTAGTTTGCTATTGAGCAAAATTAAATTGACGGAAACTTAATTGGAAAGTCACTCGTAGTAAGGTTTTGATGCGGTGATTTCACACCTGTTTTTTTATCATCTTTAAAACTTTATCCTTCTATTCTTAATTACAATTTTATGCTACTCAAAGTGTTAATCAGGTGTCAAGAGATAATTTGGCCTGACTCTTGACAGCCTCATTATCAAGCTTTCAGTTTTCTATTAATCTTTTTAAATTTAACAGAATATCATTAAAATAAAAAATGTCACAATCAATTATCCACAGCCAGATAAAACATTTAATGTATATAATTTGTGAGAGATATAGTATAATAAACACATTTTACACACACTTTAACATGTAACCTAATCTTTATTTAAAATATAAAAATAACGTTCCAGTTTACTCTCTAAAAATGAATCAGTTAAAATTACTGCAAAACAGTTTATATTCACTAATTTTCAGTTATATAACCATCACTGGTTGAATTAGTGCTATTATTATCACTGCAAATAGTGAATATTCATTGTTTCATTTTTAGAAAGTAACTAGAACAGTCTTGGTGTAAAAATCACATTTTTTATGTCTCCTGTATCCCTAGTAGCCAAATCAACGTAAGACTGACGGCACACTTACTTTCTTAAACTAAATCAATGAAAACTACTACGAATCAATTAATATTCACAGTATTTTTTACTGATTTAGTTTACGAGAGTACGTATATGACTTAAGTTTGTCATTTACATATGTATCTGCCGTTGTTCTGAAGCAGACAGACGTAAGATGTTCGTCAGAAATTTATAGCAATTTGACGTAGAAAGGAAGCAGACGGATGTAAATCTGACGAAAATTCTGACATCAGGTCTGGCTACTAGGGTATGAACTACTCAGATAGTTGATTGACGTTATCTAAAATAGTTATTTTGGAAAGGTAGTTTTCGCAACTTTCTTAAATATTGTTTTTTTAGTATCATTTAGCAATTGAATCAATCATATTTTACAATTTTAACAGTGAATATGTTTATAATAATGAATAGTATTTTAATCAAATGACGTTAATATTTTAATTTCATTATCAACGATGAGGTTATGAGCGTGTGACGTAACGAATCACCCTTTAGCAAAGTAAATAACCCTTATAGCTAGTCATTATTGTTCTAAAGGCGATTCACCTGTAACAATACTTTAAATAGCTCCTACAACTGTAAATTTTTTTCAGTGTATATGTTTCTAAATAACATCAAATTTTTTTTTTTTTTTTGTTTTGCAATCAAATCTTTTTTATCTTAAATTTCTGATAACTTTTTCCTTTGATACTAGGGATGTGTTTATTAAAAGTATGTAAAAAATATAGAATGAAAAAATATCAAAAAGTTTTTTAAGCGTAAACGAAGCAGTAACAACGTTATCATGATCAAAGAACTGACGTTGGAATGCTGGGACTGAACGAGATAAAATTCCAGACGTACTCACTTTGACA